AATAGGGTGATAAAATATAATCGATATAATGATCTCCAAATTTCACCTTTTCCCATGGTGATCATATTACACTGACAACTGTTCTATAACCTTCAGATGTATTTTAGGGATTGGTTATATTTGTGCTTAAATGCCAACAAATATCTGTTTCATGTGCGTTTTAAACAGTTAAAATGAGCACTTTAAAAAAAAATAATGCAAAAACAAGTGTTTATCTAATACTGACTTTTAGCTCACACAAGTATTTTGTATGGTTCATTCAAAGATTTGTAAATACATACGAGCCCCTTCTGAGCGATAACCCTTTAACTTCAATTCCCTACTACAATCATGCATTTCTCCTTTACACTGAAGATTAGCACAACAATTTTGTCATGACATAGTTGGAGAATAGAGACATATTCACACCCTCAAATCTACTATATGCGAACAAATATCCCATTAGAAGTAAATCATATCATTTCTATTTGAATGTCCCGTCCCCCCCTCTCCATTATGAAGGTTAAACAAAACGAACAGACTTACTTATAGGAATTTAGCACACACGAAAATATTTTGAACTCAAATAAGTAAAGTACAAATAAATGAGGTCATGAATTCAAATTATTTAAATATTATTATTCTTTTTTGTCTCGACATTCGCTTAAAAATTTGTTAACTTTATATATACAATAAATGAAACAACGCGACAGACGGTGTACTAGTGTATTCATTCAAGAAAATAGATTCCCGAACTTCATCTTTTAAAACATGAAGCAACTAATATGGTAGACTGTACAATTTTGTTTAACTTAAATAATGGGGGCACTAACTAAGGATCCTTAACATTTTATTAATATAATCTTGCTAATTTCAATACCCGAAAACATTTCTAGACGTGTCAGCAACATATTCTTATTGATTTTCCTCGTTTCGCTGACCCGAATTAAATGAAAATAATTTATATTATTATTCCCTTGGGTTCCGAGTGGAACATAGGGCTGGATTCAAAAACACATATCCAGTTTGTTCTGTTTTCTGCTGTCCTCTTCAACTGCGTCCACGATTGCCCATAACTTCTCATCTCCTCCTCCCAACACCATCTCCACCATGTCACCCACGCACAGATGACCCACTCGTCGTTTCTCATTCGGATTCCACTCGACAGATGGTCTGCATGGCATGCGATGTCATTCGACAGCCTCGTCAACATATGCCCGACCCATCTCCATTTTTTCCTGCATATTTGTAGAGCAATCGGCTCTTGGTTAATCTGTTAACAGCCAGAGTTTCTTGTTGGTTATTCTTTCTGGTTGGCCGGCCAGCCATTTAACTTTCAGTACAAAGCCAGCTGTTGAAGGCAGTTGTTGATAAATGTGTGTACCTTGTTGAAAATGCATTTTCCAACCCATATAGAGGCAGTGACTAACTGATTTCGCATTTGTGTTGAAAATTCGAATCCTGTTGTTTATGCTAAGTACATCATATTTCCAAACAGGTTTAAGGTTGATGAAGGCGTATCTTTCCTTTCCGATTCTGGCTGGCTGGCTTTGACATCTTCGTCTGTTCCACCGGCCTGTGGTTGAAATCATGCTTCCTGGCTGGATAATTGAAGGAAGTAACCTCTGTCGAACCTCTCCCAATGATGGTGATTGGTACTTGTTGTTGTTGGTGGTTGGTTATCTTCATCACCTCCGTCTTTTTTGCGTTCACTTGGATTCTTGTCTTCTCTGGCTGCTTCTTCAGCCAATTTGTTTGTTTTCACCTGCAAATCTTCAAGTTTGTGTGTCGTGCTAATCAATAGAAGGAGCTAAAGTAGTTTTTGTTTACATCTTACGAAATGACACTGTTCTCAGTTAAGCAGTGATGAAATGAATAAAGTCTGTTAGTGGTTTGGACGTTTTTAGCTGTAATTAAAACTTTCTTACGAAAAAATACTCTTGATATGATGTGAAGTTTTCAGCACGTAATAATATAGTACATATAATTTTCTCTTTGCGCTAAATAGTCGGGGGAAAAATAATTATGGGGACATTCACACTAATAATAATATAAGTAATATATGATAGAAATTGTGACAACAATATAAAAATGACAGGATAATAAATAGAGTTGTCTGTTTTCCGTTACTTAATAATCTAGTAGTCTCGTGTCTAACATCTTTTTCATCACATATGGTACGTGCTAACTAAGGTATCGTTAGTCATGCGAGCATAAGGTCTTGTATAAGTGTTTCTAGTCCTACCTGGTGAAATGCAAGTGGACAGTTGTGCATGCAGAGGGAAGATAATATTCGCTAATTTTTCTCATGAGTTTAAGTGTCTATCTTCAACCCTACTAACAAGTTGGTTTCAAAGTACCCCGATCGCCCCTGCTGATAGCTTTGAGTACCCTTCGCAGTTTAAAAAAGCTTTTCTTAAATAGCCTAATAAAAAGTAAGGTCGAGAGATAAGGAAGAATAAGTAGAATGCAAGAATTAACAACCTGTAAAAGTTGGGACAAAATGATACCAAAGTTTCTTAACTTCCTTAATTAGATGAAATATCTTTCTTAGAGTTTACATGATTTGGGTAGACCAAGAAAGGTCATAGGAAAGACAAAATTCAAGGTATTTAACATCTGACTTAGTCTTTAATACGCTCGATCAGCTTTTTAAAATTATACTTGATCGTGCAGTTCCTTGTATACAGAGATTTTCGAACAGCTTGCATCTATCTGGATATTTTGTGAATTTTCCATTCAACTCACCTGGCTTAATTGGTTTAGGAATTTAAGATTTGCATTACCGCGTCTACTTTTGGTAACCCTAGAAACGTAATCTCCGAGGAGCATGCTAACTTCTGGTGAACTTTCGTGTGGCATATATAGTCTCCGTGACGTGTTCCCTTTTAACTCAGAAGTTCACGAACGTATAGTCTCAGTACTCTTGAAAGTGAGACGTTTAAGGAATTTCGTGATTTCGATAAACACGATGACGCTGTAGAATATTCCACTACGTTTTGGGATATTACTGCAGTCTGATAATCTTAAAGAATTAAACCGTTTTATTTTATTGATATACACATCTCTATCCATAAGGACCACCCCCGAACCTGTTTCTGGACGTGTAATGATTAGATCTTTGTTGTCGCTCAAGTCTTGAGGCTGCTGCTTGTGTTCCTCTGTCAGGTGTCGGACTTTAGTTTTTCAGTTGAGGTATTGACTGCAGCAGTCAGAAATTGTGGACTTGAAATGTAAGAAATCTGCATCAGATACAAGAGTAATGTACAGTCTGTTGCTGTATAGATTTACGTCACAAAGTTTCAACCCTAAAGATAGAGCTTCTAGTTGTAACGTAGACAAGCTGACGGAGGAGTGACTGAAAACAAATTTATTGGGATCGACGGATTTGAGGCTCCTGTTCAAATCAGATTTGACATTCTCAGTACGTTTGCTTTGCACCAAAATAACACATTCATTGAGCGATTCTCTTTCACTTGATGATAGTTCGGAAAGAGCAGAAGACCTCTGTGATATATTTCTCTGTAACTCGAATATGCGCGAGCTTATAGAATCAATAAAGTTTCTAGTGTGACGTTGGAGAGTTTTAGAATTGGGATAAATGTGATGTCTTCAGAATGCCTTCCAGAACCACTTCGCATATCGATGACTCTTAATGCAGTCTTCAGCATTGTGATATCGGTAGCCCAAATTTTGCAGGCCGACCATAGATATCGGGTGTGCGTCGGCAGGGGATCAACCCCCGGACCATGTGCGTGATCGGCGAGAGTCCTAACCACTGTGCCATCGACGCCAAATTAATACGTACCGTCTCATGTCTGCTGCTGACTTGTTGAGTATTTACACAATACTAGTGAATTGCACTGGAAGGTGTACAAGTTGTGTCATGTCAAATTATACACATTTTAATCTAATGAATGATATTTTTATATAAATAAAGCCTTTAGTTTAAGTTTTCTGTCGACTCGAAAATTCTTTGTATACAATGTGTCTATTATTCCAACTGGTGTCTGCATGTCTATCAAGCTAATTATTTATTGGTTAGTAAAATAAAATAAAAATTCGTCAAATCAGAATTGTTGAAGTCTGTTTAGTGCCTCATCAGCACACTTGATACAAATGATAGACACGTTAGGCGAATTTAGGCGTACGACGTAGTTTTCACAATTTTTGCTTATTGAGGTTGATTGATACAATGTCTGAAATTAATAGTATTACTGCTCCTTATTATTGTTATCATAATTCTTGGTGAAACTCAACCTTGTTATTATTGTAAACATCATAACCTATAAAAATTTGATTTTAATAACATTACTATTAATAGTTTAACTGAATTTTAGATTTTCCTGTCGATTGATTGAACCGAAGTACTCGGTTTCAGGTTGACATGTCGGCTTCTTGTGCAGATGCTTCGACAATGTCTTGGCATGTAATTAGAAGTTAACTGGTGGATGGTGACTAGCAGTGGAATCCAGGATGAGCATTTTGTCCTATTTGGGACTCGTCTGCTGGATGTACCGCTGTGAGTGGTGGTGTTTTCCACCGAGGCTCGAACCCGGTGCCCATAGTTTCAAACGCCAAAGCGTTATCCAATAAACCACACACCCAGACATCGTCGAAGCATCTGCACAAGAAGCCGACATGTCAATCTTAGACCTAGCACTTCGGTCTAATCGATCCACGGGAAAATTTAAAATTCAATTAAATAATTAATATGACCCGTTCCACAATAAGTGGCTCTCGTGGCCCAAGTGGTCTAGTGGATAACGCTTTGGCGTTTGAAACTATTGGCACTGGGTTACAGCCTCGGTGGGGACATCATCACTCACTGGGGAATGCAGGTACATCAAGCTGACGAGTCCCAAATAGGACGAAATGTGCGTTGTCCTGGATTACACTGCTACTCACCATGCACCAATTAAATTACTATTAATAAGTGAAAAGAATAATGAATACATATATGGAGGTGAAATTTATTCAGAGAATATTTGAAAATATTCATATATACAATCAGTACTTACCATATGTTCGTAGATGTAGAATGCTTCATATTCTGCTAGAATTTGATCATTCAATGCACTTTCAACATTAGTTGATAGTACAAACGGATCACTGACTTCACCACATATTGTTGGTGCTGTGTAGAAGTTATAAAAGAGAAATATACTTTGAGAGGGGAAGATTATAATACAAAAATTGTAAAATAATTTTAGGAAAAATAGACATTCATTTAAGGAGGCATTAATGTTAACCAGGCACGTGATCTGGGTTCGATTTCCAGCCGATGCTTTTCTAAACCACATTTATTTTGTAGTACACCTGGAGAAAAATTGAAAGATTAGGCGTGAGACTAGCAATCCCATTCTGGAAAACCGTCATTGCTACTGAAACTTCAAACCTCAGGTTTGAAGTCCTACGCTGCATTAGGAATACTTTTTAATGGAAGACTTTTAGAGGGAATTCAGGTTAATATTAATTGAGGAAATGTGACTTAGCAAAGAAAAATGAATGTGGTACATGAATAATGTAACATTAGAATTTGGACATTGTGACGGAAATTAAATTCCATATTAGAAAAGTTTATTTGATATAATATACGGTCATGTTGTATTGATAACTGGATACGTTTTCAAGTACAGTTTATTGCTAATAATTATATCAATGTATTTCTTACAGTTTCTTCATTTGCCTTACTACCTTCTGTTCTTTTTAATCGTATTTTTCCATAAATCAGAGATAGTTGTTGCATCATTCTGATTGCATGTGTTTGTTGTTGATTCTATGAGCAACCTGGAATCATGGGGGCATTTAAGCTAAACAACTTACTCGGCTTAAGGACCTGATAGATCTAATTTTGAAAACATAATATAATTCAACAAATACCATGTAATTACTGCATGGTTAGTTACATAAGTCAGCCTAGTAGATCAAGATGAGCTAGATTATGAGAACATAAGAATTTAGCTATAGATATAACGATTAATCCTGATAAATTAAATAGTCTGGCAAAGAGCTTAGCTGTACCAATGCTTTCACTCAAATGTAATCATATTTTACTGTAGGATAGCGTAAAAGTACTAAGAGGTAGTATAGTCAGCTGAAGAGAGGGAGATAGGTTAGTCATAGAACTTTTGTTTATAGAATCAGCACCAAAGACATGCAATCAAAACAGTTCAACACCCTTCCCTAACATGTGAAAAATTGCAATGGAAAACGGGAGGGAGAAAGGTTATATAAATCGAATTATAGTACGTCGTGTGAATAAATTGATATGATTATGGGCAGTCAGTTATGCTCGGAATGTCACTGCGTCTGATATCAAATAAATTCATCTAATGTGGTGCATAAATTCATTTGTATAGTTACATTAGATTCCAATCTACATCATTCTAGGAAAAACACCATTTTGGCGGCCTGTTTAAAACATTGAGCTACCTGAATTTACATTTTTAACACAATCCATCAGATATTCTGCTTCTTTTAGTAATTCAGTTGTATTATTCGGTCTCAAAACGTACTCAAGTGGCTTTCAATCTAATGCACTGCATTTCTCAAATGAGACGAAGGAAAAATATAATCAGGGATTAGTTTTTGCTTCAGACAGAACAACATTGCAACACGTTACACATCGTTTATTACTAATTTACTTAAAAATCCTTAATAAGAAGTAGATCTGAGTAGTAAAATACATTGACAGTTCTTTACACCGGAAAAACATTTTGTTCAGAATAAGGTCACTTTCATTGGTCAAAATCACATGACCTCAAATAAAAATCAATAATATATATAACTAGAAGTTATATTTGCTTTTTTATAAACTAACGCATGTCTGTTACGTAACCGATGTTGCTGTTACGCTCATGAAACCAAGAGGGTGAATTAAAACCATGTATTATGTAATAAAGTAAACCGTTACTAACCACGGAATTATTTAATACAAAAAAGCCTGGGAACACAGTTGATTTAATTGGTTGGAGGATTTCATCATGAACTGACATCAGTTAGAGAACCATTAAAAAACCTGCAAGGAATACTGGACAGCTGTTTCGTCAGCCTAGTTTGGGACTCTTCATCAGTATACACCCACCGCCAGGATTTGGAACCTAGGACCTTCCGGTTAAAAGACGAGCCTGTAGAGAGTTAATTTAGTTAATTTAACAGTGTTACGTAATCTAACTTTTTCCATTCGAGAATATTACCAAATGATCACTGTACATATAAACAGGTAATCAATGTTCGCCGACAGCTGTCATCTAAGATGTCACTATTATGAGTCAATTTTTTTGAAGACTTTTTGCATAGAAAAAAACCTACAGTAAATTTACTGTCAGCAGATAAATTCCAAATAGAACGAAGCATGAATCCTGCATTCCAGTGTAAGTCCCCTTTCATCAGATGAGACTACTGAAAACTTCTTGAGTATTTATAAACCAAAGTTTTTATTTTCTAACACTCCTTATTGTATAACGGTAAGCTATCAAATTACTTTTGCATAGTTTATGTCATATTGCTGTTCATATTTGTACAGTATTATTTATTTAAGGCTAAGGAAGTCACATGTTAGACAAATTAATCAATTAAGGTAGCAAGTCTATTTATTATTTTCAACAAACTATATTATTATTATGTATTACGCAACACTTTTATTTATCCCATATGAATGAGATAATAAATACAAATGTTTATTTTTATGTGTATTCATGTGTAAAACACAAAAGTAGCAAAATTTTCTTTTTTATGAATCATAGCAAGCTTAATGAATATTTTAGTCTCTATTACATAATTCAAAAGGTCAGTTTCACCAAAAAATTGACATTTGAAATATTATCATGTGACACTGTCGTTAGACATATTGAGAAAGAAAAACCTAATTAGATGACTAGTCCTGACAACTTGCATTAAATTTTGGACGCAGTGACTTTTGATTGATAGGATTTCATCATGAGTTGACATTAGAAAACCTGGGAGTGCTAGACAGCTGTTTCGTCAGGCCAGTTTCGGACTCTTCGTCAGTACGCACCCATCGGATTTCTCACCCAGGACCAGTTAGTTACAAGGCGAACTTGTTGACCATTAAGCCATTTTTGGTGCAGGAAAGTCTTATGATAATCTGTATATTACAGATGAGGTCTTTGTTAAAGAGAAAAACCGCTAGGATGAATAATCCTTTGATTAACCGGCTTAAAAATATAAACTGTCTTATATGAATGTGTGAGATATTATGGTGCTAGCAGATTGTCTGTCGATGGCAAATTATAGGAAGTAGGATATGTACTCAATACTTATTGGTTAAACATTCGATGATTAACAGTTCGAGCTTCAATATGATGAAGTATTATTTGAAGTGACTTTTTCTCAATACTTGCTAACATTTGAAAAAAGGGATCTTCAACGATTTCGATATTAGCCTTACAAACATAAACATCAATGTTAATTCAGTTTTAGATTTTCCCGTCGATTGATTAGACCGAAGTGCTCGGCCTCACGTTGACATGTCGGCTTGTTGTGCAGATGCTTCGACGATGTCTGGGCATCTAATTAGAAGTTAATTAGTGGGTGGTAACTAGCAGTGGAATCCAGGATAACGCGCATTTCGTCCTATTTGGGACTCGTCATTTGGACGTACAATCCACCAATTAACTTATAAACATCATAATTATCAGCTGAAAATTATGGAAGAGTAAATATATTAAATGATATTTCTCACAGAAAGTCATCTCTTTTTGCTCATTCCTTGAAACCAGGCCTCAGTTTTAAAGTTCCAGTAGAAGTGCTGTTGTTGTTTTTTACATATAGGATAAGGTTACTAGCGTCACATCAAACCTTCCGCCATTTTTTTTTGCTTGTTTCTTGTTAATAAACTATGCAGGGTTTAGCATTGCATTTTCTAGAAACCGAAAGAGGACTTTCGCGCGAATGATAATTATTCTACCATTCTAACGACACATACTTCTGAGAGAATTTGATGTCAAATACATTTTCATGTGACTTTATAACACCTGAAGATTCATTCTTATGTATATTTATTTACAAACTTAAATGCTACAAATATATTAGCATAGTTTAACTGTTAATACTTTATTTACATTTCTAGTTTCAGTCCAAGTACAAGCATATATTTTTTCTCAATCGTGAACATGTGGTGAATTCATTTAAACACTAGAATTTCAGTTAGCTAGTCCGGCAGTCGAATGTCTCTTCACCTGCATTAACCCTCAAACAATAAGTGTAATTGATATAGCCTAGTAATTGAGAAGAGTGAGACGTCCAAGGGTGACATGGAGGAGGTCGTGTGAAGGGGAGTTGAAACAGTATGGATTAACATGGATGCAGGTGAAAAGTACAGAAGAAGACAGAAGCAAATGGAGACGTGTAGTTGAAGCCCTATGTTCCACTAGGAACCCAAGGGAACAATAATAATAACTGAGAAATCTCTCCTTGACAGTTGATTTCGAACGGTTTTAGGGTAAATATGACCCAACAGTTTTGTAGTATCCATTCAGTACAGTAGCAGATTGCGTTTTTGAATATACAATGATATCTGAAAACATTATAATCAACCAGGGTTAGTGTAAACATTAATTCTAATATCAATAAGAAATATTCAGATAAGTTTACGAGAAACATATGAATATACAGGTACTAAAATCATTGACACCGACATAAAACATTCAAAAATAAAACCCACTAAATACAATATTGTATTAATAATAGTATAGTTGCGTTGGTAGCACAACGGTAGAATGCTCGTCAACCACATAGGTAGTTCATGGTTTTATCCCCAGCCACCGATGCACTCCTTTACCCCGCTAAGCCAGTACTAAGACTGGTGAAGAGGAAAGGTTGGGCATGAGGCTAGCAATCCCATCCCGTAAAAATAAACATCACAGCTACTGAAACTTTAAAGTTCTGGCTTGAAGCCCAATGTTCCAGTGGGAACGTCAAGGAATATTTAAAAAAAATAATAATAGTATAGAGGATTATATAAGTAAAACTGTACTCACTAATAACAGCAAACATCCAGATAATTAGAGTTTGTATCATTGTATTCATATTGATATTAAAGATTTCACAGATTTTCACTTGTCACAATGTGAAGTAAAATGTCGAATATTCAAAACTTAAGTACAGTTAGTTGTTAATTTAATATTGAAAAGTTCAACTGCCTATAAATTTAATTTTAAACCTCTATGGTTCCTAATGATATATATATATATGTATATAAGATAAACAATTCTACTATATGAATAATTCTATTGGTAATTTACCAATTGTATTCTATGAAATAATTTTATTGCTCTAATAGCATGTATAAATAAATGACTTTATTATTAAAATAGGGCAGCAGGTTGTGGTTGGTATTTTTATGGTCAGAGACTGGTCATTTGTATTCTGAGAAAAAAAATAGATGTGTATAAGTATTACACATATACATATATATAATATTGTATCATGTACACGCATATACAAATGCATACAATATGGTGAAATAAATAAGTGTGTATTTGAAATAATATTTGTAAAACATTTGTCTCATAATGTACAAACAAAACTGGTATAGTTATTTATGAAAACTAGTATTACTATTATTATTATTACTATAATTTATTTTTTGTATGTGTTCAACTAAGATTTACTAGCCAAGTTATATTCAAATTACTCAATGTATTAATTTGTTGGTAAATCTATTTAGTTTGAATTATAGTAAAGGAAGTTAATTATTACAATATACATATATATTTGGTAAAATAATGTGAAACTAACTCTTTTACAGACACACTGTTCACATACACTATAGTTGATGACTTCACTTGGCGAAATATCAGTGAAATACCTATATTATTACATAACTGTAAGGTCGGTCGGTCGGTTTTCGACATAGAAATTTGCACATATGTGCGGCAGTTCAAGTCGCCACACTCCATGTAGCACACAAAGCAAGAGAACAAAGTAGGAGAAATGCATATTAGAGACAGTAAACAGAGGTGTGAGACAAAGGAATAGTAATAAAGAAGAACAAAACAGTTTAATTGGAAATCATAAGTCACAAGGAGTGGATGCATCTGCACTAGCCATTAACAACAAAGACTTTGAGCCATGTCACCAATTGTTTCCAACCATTGGTTTTTACCGTCCCGAGGACCCCAACCAGTCAGGAAGTCTACACCTTCCTACGTGACTGGCTTAAACTAACTGTTGTAGATTTCATTGACTGGTGCCATGTTTTCGTTTGACCGCCGCTAGCTCTTTTCCAGCCTGGCCCTATATCAGCTAACATTGCCCCTCAGTCGAGGAAGGCGATGACTAGACATACGAAGCACATGTCCTAACCATCTCAGTCGATATAATTTCATAGCCTCGTCTATCGATTTCCCCTCCTTACCTAGCACTCGACCGTAGCCTAATCTCAATATTGCTCACCTTATTATACCACTTCACGCGGGAGATAGAACGCAGACACCTATGATCGAAGACAACTAATCTTTTCATGTCTTATACTCTCAATGGCCATATCTCACAGCCATAGAGGAGGACGAAGTGGACTGTTGAGCAGTACACACCCCCTTTGGTCGAATAAATAATGAGGTAGAAAATAGATACAGAACAAAGTTTGCTGGTGGCTAGCAGTGGAATCCACGAAATGGCATTCCTTCCTATCTAGAACTGGTAAGTGGGATGTAACCACAGCCCTAGTGACTAATGATGTTCTTACTGAGTAACAAGCAACTTCGAGTTAATAGTCAGAAAAAGTTAACCAAGCATCTCTTCAAGGAATCCATAGTCTAAGTGAAGGTTGATCAATTCAGTCTAGATATATCAACGGGAAATCAAAAGTGGGAATAAATTATCCATGAGAGTAAGAACGACTTCAAAGTTTATCAACATAAATCTCAGATCACTCATTCATTTCATTCATATCATAAAATAACTAACATATCACTGAAATATCTTAGGTCAGTAGTAAGGTTCTTCATGTTTTTAGTTCGGTTAATACTGTTTATTTTTGAAAACAATGATTCGTTATTTATAGTATTTGACCTGACCACCTTATTCTCTAAATCTTTCCGTTTACAGTGCTTCATAACCAACTATAAACACTCTTTATTACATTTCAACTGACGTGAGAATGTTGCTGTAAAACTTTCTGTGAAAATGACTCGTTCAGTAATCTGTTGTGTCACAGCCTTTAGAATAATGGTGATAAGTCGTTGAATATTCTAAAGGTAAAATAATTGTGATATAAGCTGATAAACACTAGATGGAGTTTTCTATTCGTAAGGAGATTTTATGTGTGAACTAGTTCAACTATGCAGATACTAATTTTCTGATAGTTATTAAATTGCTGTGCGTCGGTGGCACAGCGGTTAGGACGTTTGCCGATCATACATATGGTTCGGGGTTCGATCCCCAGCCGACCCACTCCTCCCTTACCTCGCTAAGTCAGAAATAATGCTGGTAAAGAGGAAAGGCTGGGCATGAGACAGGCTAGCAACCCTATCCTGTAAAAAATAAATACTGCTACAGAAACTTCAAGCTTCTAGCTTGAAGCCCTATGTTCCACTGGGGACGTGAAGGGAAAAAAAGTCAAATCGCGTAATATATTATAAAAAATTTAATGGCCACCTAATATGTCTATAGGAGACCATCTACGAAAACGACAAGAAAATCCACTCTACCGTATATAAAGAATGTCTCTGAAAAAACGGCTAGTACACTAAGACCATTTGAAAACGACATAGCGCACAGCCAACACAACCACTTCATTCAATATTGTGCAGAATAAATGATCCAACAGAGAAAGAAGATAGGATCAATATGATTTACAAAATAAAATGAATGATGTGAGATGAATATTACACTAGTCAAAAAAGGGGTCCCCTTCGACTAAGAATCGAAGTGCATAAATTGTCTGTGAAAAGACACGACATGTATATCAGTGCATTTAAACAATTATGGATACCAATTTGATTGGGAAAATGTAGAGATTTTAAATAGAGGAAAAACCAAAAATACCAGGCAATTTCTAGAAGCCTGGTACTAATTTGAATCTGCTATTGACAAACATATTACTATAGATCCAATTTACCAACTAATAAAATGCAGATCACACGACAATAAAGTTCAAATTCCAAGTCAATAAAAAAAGACCAATGCAAACTGACAGCCAATAACAACAACAGTTGTCAAGAGACACAATTACATCATTCATAGGGGATTCAAACAAGCTTAATTTCTTTGGTTACAGGATTTCATCATGAACTGACATTGTTTAGAGAACCATTGGAAAACCTTGGAGTACTGGGCAGCCAGGTGTTTCCTCCGTCCTGGTTTGGGACTCTGCTTCAGCAGTACGTACCCACCGGGGTTTGAACCTAGGACCTTCTGGTCACAAGGCGAGCTCGTAGACCATTAAGCCACTGGGACCCGATCCAATGGCCAGTCCATGAATTCTAACTTCTGCTAATTCACGATATAGCGCAACTGCTACCCAATATCTTCGGCGAGTATTTGTCCTCACACCCGACATGCTGCACCCTACTGCTCACGACTTTCCACTGGAACCCCAGGCAACTACCTACCTAAATAGGGCCAGTCGCCAGTGAGCATCTCACCGATATTCAAGCATTGGTTTGTAGGGATCTGATTGACTGGTCACAGGATTTCATCATGAGCTGACATCGGTTAAAGAACCATTGGAAAACGTGAGAGTACTAGACAGCTGCCTTGAAGATGTTATCAATAAGGACAACGAAAGCTTCGCAATCAAATCAATCAACTGAAAGAACACAACCAAATCAATAGCTCTAAATTTATGAATGAAATATGTAAAAAGTTATGGATAATGCTGTATATGATATTACTATTGATTGAATCAAAGGTGAAGGGATCTTGCCTTAAATACCTTCCCTTTAAAGTCAGTGTCTTCTAATTACGCAAATAGATGAATAAGATATTTTTTTGATTTTTACAATGCTAATGGAGGTTACATATCTGACCAATGGTTACTTATTATAGTTAAACTGATCTACTGACAGGTGAAGCATGATAGCTAATTTTTCAACAGTATGTAATACTCATAGTTATTATCCTGATAACTCCACATTTAATATACACCACCGAATCTGTTGATTGGTAACCGTTTACTAACTATGTATTAATTAAAACTAAAATTGAACTCTCTAGCGTGGCAAGGTCTGAAGGAACAGCCTCCCGGATTACTGACTCACAGTCCTAACATCTAGACTACAAGACCTTTAATCATCAGCTTTTGGATCAATAATGATTGACCTGTTGAAGACCACTCTAGATTCATTATCTTCATCCGTTTTCTGATATACTGGATGTTTATTTTAAATATTTTCTGATTTAGTTGATCTCTTATTTCTACAACCTACCTAGATGAAGTTAGGTGAATCAAAGGGGAATGAACTACTATACTTTGATATGGAGGTTCATGTTTAGTCTACTTGTCTTTACATAATACCATTCTTATAGATTTACAATGACCTAATTTCGTTTATGTAGTCAAATACACATACATAAATTATTCAAAAACAAATGAATATCAATCGGTTAAAACTGACAATACTAAACAATATCATTGAGAGTCTCATCGATTCAATTTGCTCACAAGAATAATGCCATACGCATCATAAAGCCTGAGACCTTCTGAAATATATTCATTCAACGTAAATGTCAATGTTCAATACTAAAAAAGTGGTCACATCTCTACAATTTCTTCAGTCAACCATTGGAGGCATTAGTACGCAATATATACGAGTCTAATTTCATGCCACTTGTTCGTCGGGTAATTTTTTTCAGATCAAATAGGAATTGGAGTTTAATTGGTGAATGGTGACTAACAGTGGAATCCATGATGCCCATTTTGTCCTATTTGGGACTCGTCGGATGGATGTACATCATCACTCATTGTGAAATGCAGGTACATCCAGCCGACGAGTCCCAAATAGGACAAAATGCTCATCCTGGATTCCACTGCTAGTCACCATCCACCAATTAAACTCTGATTAGATGCTCAGACATCGTCGAAGCATTTGCACAAGAAGCCGACATGTCAACCTGAAAGCGAGCACTTCAGTCCAATCAATCGAAGGGAAAATCTAAAAAATTCAACCAAATAGAAATTAGGCTTGAATATTGTACAGATTTGTAGTACTCATCGGTTTGCAGTTGTTCACCAGATAACATTATACTTATAACTTTGATATGGTTGGAGGAAATCAGTAGAAAACCTTGGACGTGTGTTTCATGCTTAGTGGCACTCATCATGAAGGCTATATTTGCTACATTTTACAGTCTTACAGGAGTTCTATCGTGAGCTCGAATAGTTGAATAGTAACGTCTCCAACTGTTACACTGTATGACCCGAGTCTGAATCCCAGAAGGAAAATGAGTTCCTTCAAGATAGGAGATATGCCTTTCTGAAGAGTGTCAACAAGCACGAAACCTAGGTCTAAGGCTTCATGTCTCCAATTATCTAACGACAACAATTCAAAGTTCACTGTGATGGTAAGCCGCTAGGCATGTTGAACACGTCGCAAACCTGACAGATACAATTCAGTCTGCAGCAAACGAAGGAGTAAATGGATGATGTTAGTTACCACCCAGTGTCCAATCAAAAGATTATTAATATATATAAATATATATATATATAACCTTGTTCTGATAACCGACAACACTTTGAGACTTGTCAGTTCTCAGTTATCTGAATGCCTAATTGCATTTCAACATAAAAATTTGCACAGGAGTGCAGCAATTCAAGTTGTCAATTGGCTACCCAGAAGTCCTACATAAAATTGTAATTATCTAGATGGCTGGGATATTTGGTGTATATGTAAAACTGGATTAGATGGAAGTTAGGGACAATTAAACTAAAACATGATAATCCATGAAGTATTTGACTGTTAGTTTGAGACACGTAGGGGAATTTAGACCACCTCTTTAAGATAATCAAGACGCAAAGGATACCTTGAGATTTTTAGCGATATAACTTAAAATCATTCTAAATGATGCAATTGCATTTAGACTGTACAGTCCAGAGGATTAATGATATTCTCATCATCATGCAATATCCCTTCTACTGTACATTCCTGTCCACTATAGTGTCTTTACATTCATTTTTTACCCTATATTTAAATATCACATCAAGAAGTGTGCTAATCTGGAAAACTTCACTTTCATGAAAAGTTGTACATTGAAAATTTCAGTTTAATTCATGACCTTCAAGTGTTGGCTTGTGGGGATTTGATTGGTTACAGGATTTTCATCATGAGCTGACATTCGTTAGAGAACCATTGGAAAACCTGGGAGTACTGAACGGCTGTTTCGTCCTAGTTTGGGACTCTTCATCAGTACACACCCACCGGAATTCGAACCCAGGATCTTCTGGTTACAAGGCGAGCTCGTAGACCATTAAGCCACTGGGACCCTATTCATTCCGTGGTCAAACTCGGAAAGCAAATCTAATCCTTACAAACCAGTTCTTGAAAATTAATTCTGAAGTGTGAATTACTAGTATAATTCTAGTTACGAAACTTCCAGATTAAAAGTATATCGGAAACTGTAATTTACTATTCAACCCACAGTTTATGAACCATTTATCTATATAAATTCCAACCTATGAGGATTAGTGATAAAATATAACTGTTTCTCAGTATCATATGTGCACATGAATCTTGACTTTTAATTCCACATGGATGTCACCATGGAATGCAATCAACTGCCTGGGTCTGCTCCTCGGTGTTTGTGTCATAACCTGTTTAGAAAGCTAGATGGAAGGTAGTCAACCGGAAGACCTCAGTCTAAGCTTCGTGCTTATTGTCATTCGTCAGTAAGCCTTATTTGGCACCTCAAAGGAACTATTGCCTCCACGTCCTGGGTTCGAATCCCGGTGGGTGTGTACTGATGAAGAGTCCCAAACTAGGACGAAACAGCTGTCCAGTACTCCCAGGTTTTCCAATGGTTCTCTAACGAATGTCAGCTCATGATGAAAATCCTGTAATTCATGATCTCTTTAAAATATAAATTGCTTGAGAAGCAAACCACAATAGTTAGATGTTTTTGTTTCATCAGTATATATAAAAGGATTCAGCAATAACTGCCTTTTATCATTTCCTATATCTTCATTCATATTGATGTCATGAGTGGGTGCTACTGAGGGTTTCGGAGTAAGGACGAAATAACCAGCCACTTATCTTGTTTCTAAATATTTCATACATAGTTCTTTTTACCTGTGTCGACTTCCAACCTGTAACTAATCAAGTCAATTGTAAACTGAAACCCTGGGGATTTATTTTAAAATTATTTTTTTGATCTTAATTTCTCAGATCCTAAATACCACAGTCAATGTAAAATGATCTCAAGATGCAAAACTGTGACACTAAGAAATTAGAAATGGATAAACAGTCGACCTTAATGATTGCACCAGTTTTATTGATATTAAAGGGCCGAAATTTTTCTTATCCTAGGGAGTGTATTATTCCCAATAATTATTTCTTAATCACTATTATTACATGACATTATTTGTTATGTATATGCTGGTTTCAGATCGGTTTGAAATTTTTTTAAAGTGCACTACGCTGATTGGTTTATTTCGTCGGGGATTTAGTCCCAGGTCGATAAATTTTAACCACAGAAATTTGCCTAAAATTGACCCTGCCCATGACACCCCTCATTATTTCTGAAAAGAATATCAACTACTGGATAAGTTAATCGACCAATTAAAAAGCATCATTTGCAGTATTTATAAGTAATCCAATATTTGCAGCCCGCAGTTGAATAATTGATAATGATGAACTTCAACTATAATTGTGCAACGGATATGTCAGATTCGGACACAAGTGATTCAAGTGTTCTAAGTCCTACTTACCAGATTGTTACTGATTCACCAACAGAAGTTGAATATTATCCAATGCTATATGAAAGCGAATCAAATAAAACTAGTGCGGATAATAATCGAGTAAATTTAGAATCACCAGTTAATGAAAGTGGATATAATTCTTATTGGTAAGTTATTATGTGTTTAAAATATTTTTGTTTATAGATAATTATATTATATCTGTAATTTAGTTATAGCTTCTTTGTAATGTGAATAGATTTTTGGTTTGATTATGAAAACAAATAGTATATTTTAGGCTTATTCGATTGTTGATTCAGAATACTCCATGTCAAACGCAAAGTGTCTACATGATTCATATATATATATATATATTCTGACCTCATTGCACTACAATAAATAAAAGTTTTTCAGTATGATGTCGTTTTACTTATGCGTTGGTGATTCAGGGCTCAACGACCACGCATGTGTTTAAAAATTCAATCCTTAGCCGATCCATTCCCATACCTCGCTCAGCCAATAGTGAATCAGGTGTAATATATGATTCTCTGTGTTCCATTCTGGATGCAAAGGAATGATAAAGGATTATTGCATGTAGATTAATTTAAGGAATTTTTAGAATATTTAGAAACTTACCACATATAATCACCGAGAAAAAATATTCATATTAATATTTTGTAGTAAAATAAGTTTTCCAAAAGGATTAATTCAGTTGTTTTAATCTCCTCAATTTGAGTTGAAGAATAATCACTATCCATAATTATTTATTTGTAATATTTCATCGGTTATCAAAGAGATAATAGTTTCAATGCATATCTCTGTAGTGTCAATTAATGCATCAAATACGGATATACAGATTTAAAATTAAATTTATTAGGCAATGTTCATAACCACAGTTGTTCGTGCATTGACAATAAGAAGACATTAATCTGTCACATAGCCGCGACAAATATTTAATATGCTTCTAGATTATTTTCATTAGGATACTTGATATACTTATGTTTCAGATATATATTACCGTTGTATGGAAAGCCATTGATTATACATGTATCGATTAAATTTAAAATAAGTGGAATGGATCGATACAGTTGATGCCACACAGCTAAATATTATTAGGATATATATATTACATTGCATAAATAACCTCACCAAATGTCTTTATTAAACATTAAATATTTTTAATTCCCTTGCTTTTCAGCAATCAGAGTCAACTGTCAACCGGTGAAGCATACCAGACAGCACAAACGGCCTATAGAGGTAATTCATTGCAGAATGAACCGGAAAAGCAATTTTGTGGAAATAATACGTGTCAAATGGGCTATATATCAAGAGGTTATTCAAACAATACTGCGAACGGAGTAGAATATACGAACAATGCAAGCGATGCAGCTTCAACTATCGCATCTATAATAAATAAAGAAAATATACCCAATTATAATTCGTTGTCTGAAATTCTAGCTACAGCCATACGCCACAATTACACTCCGCAAGTTTGCAACACATATACTCCAAATCCATATTACCAGCACAATGTAACGTCAACTCCGGACACAAAAATTAAGAATGCTGAACAGCAGTATCTTGAAAGAAATCACCATGCTCTTTGGAGTAACCAAGCTAATAATCAATACAATCAGCGTAGCAGCGACGGGTCACAAACAGCATTTATCAGTGGCACAGAAAATGAAGGTGATTCTTCTTTTCCATCTGCTTCAACGTCACTGAATCGTTTTACAGATAGCCATTTAAATGAAAGGGAATATAAAATGGAATTTGTCCAGAGAATGATAGATTTACAGCATCAAACAAATCATAATACAGAAAGTAGTCACAAAATTTCTAATCACATTGTGGAGAACAGAACTACACCAATACAGAATATCACTTCCTCCTCGGAAATTGACAATTCCGAATCATTTAATAGTCCATGGCATCGAGTGGAAAGGTTTTACGGAGGGAGCAGTAGTGGGAAATCAGACGAAGTGTATCCCTCAGACATTAAATCCAGTGTAGATATAAATATGACACTTAGGAATCCAACTACCTATAACGAAAGTTATGGAACACTCAGCAATTCAAAAACCCAAACGGTTGCCTGTGCGAATGTTTCAATCCAGTGTGAGACGAACTCAAGTACATCTCTAAATATAAATGTTTTGCATACAGATCGCAATACAGAGGAAAATGTACCTACATTCCATTCTATTGCTCAGTCATCTGGTGATTATTCAAATACAGATGAGATCTCCAATCCAGATTTAATAAATGCGTCCACTTCTAGTGATTTTCAAGCACCTTTAGCAAAATGCAGTAACCGAACGCATCAAAACGAAGGTAACTACGATTATGGCAGTGCTTCTTGGCAGCAACAAAATATTTTTCCTCAAGGCTCAGGTATACGTATATCTAAAATACACATTAAGCTTGAGGATGCTAGAACATCGGACACAAATGTAAATGCCTCAGCATCAACCTCTTTTGACATGCCGACACTTCAACGGGGATGTAACGAATGTACTATTCGAGAAAATGATTTCACACAGGAAGTGAGTTCCAGCATTTCGTCTTCCATGATACGGGGTCGACCACCAAAGCGTATTTCACGAAGGAGATCAAGAAGATTTTCTTGCTGCAGTTTTCTGAACCGAAACCGACCGCTGAATTCAACTGCCGTGGATATTATGGAAAACTGGTATTTGGATCATGTGGACGCCCCATATCCATCGACGGCCGAGAAACAAAGGTTGGCTGCTAGTGGAGGCATAACAGTTATGCAGGTATATTTCCCTTTCCAGTATTAATATCTATACGTGTATAAGTTGTTTAATCATATCCATACATCTTATCAGCGTGAGTTAAGGTTTGATAGTAACTTTTAAAATGTAATTTAAATACAGCAGAACTATTGTGCAGAACATTTTAGTCATCTAATTAGTTGCACTTTGACCCTTATTGTTTGTTGTTAACTGTTACATCACACCAAGTTAAGCAGATTTCAATAATAGGACGAATTATCCAACATTTGTAACATCTTGACTTATCGTAGTATGTTTTTTACCAGCGTTTGATGAGGACACATACAGTTTTTCGCTAGCTATATCCAATAACAATTCAAACTTTCGTTTTTAGGTTAGCTCATGGTTCGCTAATCGTCGGACGCGTGCATCTAATACCAAACCAAAAAAGAATCGAGTCAAGTTATTTGAACAAATTAATGATTTCTCTGCTGAATTAGAATGTCTCAGTCAAGGTAGTGTAAAAGCGTCAACCGTCCGAGAGCGAATTGGTCGAATCATTGATGAATATCTAAAATGAATAATTCCCTGTGAATCATAAACCAAGTTTATTAATATTTTCCATTATTTAACAATCTTAAAACACAAAACTCTGCACTTGTTTTGTTGTTGTTTGTTTTTAAATTTTGTTATTTTGTTGTTTTCTATTTTTTTTCTCGTTTATCAATATATCAGTTTACCTATATAACACTTGTTTTGTTTTATAAGAATGATAACCTGAAATATAGTGGTAGTGTAAAACTGCATCTTATTGATACCTTTAGGCATCTATATTCACTGTTTGTCAGTATACCGAACACTTAGCTGAAGAATATAGTTGACGGTTAGGAAGTCTAGAATTCCTACTTCAAAATAATAATTATCGCCTAGTGAAGTTTATCTGCCTTTATTTCTAATCTGCGCAATTCTCTCTTGGACTGTGATTGCCCTGTAAGACAGTCTATCTAGCCTAACCATACCGATTTGATCGTATAAAAATCAAAATCAAAAATCTGATTACCAACATGACGTCAATAATCGTAGATAGCGAATAACAAACTGGCTTCGATTATTGTGATAGTAGCTCCTTAATAGGTACAATAAAGCTATGTACATAGTTAGATAGCATTTGTATTGCACGGAAAATCAGTGACAATCTTATATACAGGAGTAACCGATTTTAAGACTATGAAATGTAATATATCAGTCCCGTAACATACTGCTAATTGTCATCATTCTGAGGCAAATATTCTTACCATACTAAGATAATTAAGTAGGCATTTCATTCAGCAGTAGACACGGTTGAAAGTATTTGTGGTCGTTGAATTTTTCATTTGCCGAGGCAGTTTTGTATGTTCAGTATATGAATTCTAATTTGCCCTGAAAGTACTTAATTATATATACACATATTTGTTTGATAGGCCTTGACCAAATTATTTCAAAAATATGAGAAACACTTTCCTAATTAAATAAATGATGAAAAATAATATCCAGGTTCTATACACAAAAACAAATGTGTAAATTAGCTGATTATACTCTACGGGAAAGATGTTCAGTTTAAGGAAAGGAGTATAATTTATTTCGTTGTAAATAGGAAGGTTAGATTAAAGTAAATTATAGTCAACTGACATCTGACTGGACATTATATTGTACACAGTTTGGTAGGAATAAAGAAGTGAAGATTATTTAGACCTATTTTTTGAATCAATACACTGACAGGACCTAAGAATATGAGATGGCTAGACTTTTAACGATTGAAGATGCCTGTCATAGAAACTTGTGATCGGCATGTGTTTAGATTCGAACTGTGGGGCATGATTGTATTGGACTCTTATGGGCAAATTCATTGCATATTTTATGGACAAGATAGGTGATACTTCATACAATTACTTGTCGACATTACCTGAAGGATTGTAAATAACTATAGTTAAGTATTTGAGAACCAGATGGCCGATAGCTAGAGGCTGATGGTGGCATACATGAAAGTTGTTCTTAATAATGTATGTACATTCATTTATTATGATCTCCCGCACTCATTAAATTCTCGATATTCTGTACGTAGTCATTCCTTTCCTCCGCACATTTCTGCTCATTATAGTTTCTTTGTATTTCTTCTTCATTCTGTCCTTACGTGTTGCTTTATCAAGTGTGAACTTATGTACTTTTGTGCAGCGATCTACGCTGGAAATTCAATTAGTCACTCTTCCAAAGTATGACACCAAGGAGGAAGGTAGATAGGTGGAGAGAGAGGGAGAGACTGAAGTTTCGCATAATAAACGAATGCTTTTCGTTCGGTAACACAAAGTATCTATTTCTGTCAATGAATTCCATTTTCAGTGGGTTAATATTTCTCATCATATATATATATATATACATATATATATAATGAATTGTTTATCTTTCATATTTTAAATAAAAGGGACTTTAATGATCCTACGAAGTGGATTGGCATTTTTGAATACACCCCAACAGACCTTATAAGATGATTTTCAGTATCTGTGATGTTGTTTTTCCAATGTGAAGCCACTAACCTTCCCTCTTTATCAGGTTTGCCATCAATTAGTAAACTGGACAAGGTTAAGCAGTGCGCCTGGAAACGAACCGTGACCACATGCATCGATTGTGAGAATTCTGCTCATGAACCATCAAAGCACCAATAGTAGGTACCACAAATTATTCTACAACCACCTCATATTTACAGTTTTCGAAAGCTTACACCTCTCCAGTGGTTGTACCACAGGATGATACTGTAATCCGTTCTGGTATTGCAAGAGGATGGGATGGGGATGTTTGGTTTTCGTGAAAACAAATCTATAATTACCCAGTCAATGGGTGTATTGTTGTGTATCACCACTGAGATACAGTTTAACTCTGTCTGAATGTAAAATATACTAGTTTATTCAATCTGTTGTGATTTCTTTGAAGCGAAAGATGGATATATTAAGAAACAGAGTAACTAATTATTTTATGCCGTAAACCTTTTTGCCCAAGCGCTTTCTGCAGTGCAGATGAAAAGATAGTAAGCTGGTGGAAATGTCATGAGGTCTTCACTACCAAACATCTTACTTCTCCATCATGATTTCGGAAAAATAATAATAACGAAACTTGTTAACTTCGTAATAATACCAATAATAATAATAATAGTAATCCCTATTAAGTTTTCATAAAGTTTTATGGAAATTACGAAACTTAAGATGAGATAATTATTGTCTTCTGTGTGCATTCCTAAACATGTCGAATTCTGCAGACAATAACATTGTTTGAAGATGAAATGTTAACAAGATGAGAGTTAGAGAGTGTATAAAAGGATAAATAATTTCAAGGCAGTTTTGTGCAATATTCAAATGCAGATTAAAGTATACATATTCATTGTATTAGGCGTTTACAATTAAGACTAAGTGGCACATGTGACCGCAACAGGGGTTGGACCCAGAACACTCAGATTACAATGTGACCTGGTATACCATGCAGCCATTAGGACAGGATCCAGTGTTCCATCAATTCTAATTTCTGGTAATTCACGATATAAAGCTCAATCGTTAACCAGTATCATCGGTGCGTGCTGATGAGGAGCTCTGCGCAGGGACGAAACAAGTGTCCAGTACTTTATGGTTTCTACTGGTTCTCTAACTGAAGTCAGCTGGTAATTAATCACAAAATCCTTGAAATCCCCGCTAAACCAATGCTTGAAAATTGAACACTAAGTTGTTTATTTATTTTTAACTGATGTAGATTTTAATATGATCGAATGTGTTGAAGCTTTTTTTTAATCAAATTCTTAGATGTATACCTGTTATTCCAGTAAATGATTTTACACCGTTTTCTTCTATGCCTATCTTGATGACTAACAGTCTAGCTTTTCTGCATCTTACTCACCAATGTCACATGAGAAAAAATAAAGTCTTTACAACATGCTGACAACTAGTAAATAATGAGCTAGTTTGGTTACGTAATCAATGGTCTTTTTTTTTTTTGGTATGTAAGAAAGAGCACAGTCATTTCTATGTGTCAATATGCAAAAGAGATCGATTTTAGTCCTTTTTTGTCTGTTTGTCATATTTTCATTTTAGGTATTATCTTATACAAAATTTTTGTCGCTTAAAGCATGATGATTACGTGATGAGTTGCCATGCCCTGACAACAGAATAATGAGGAATTGACTTGTTTACATATTAATAAAACTATTTTCACATATATATGTATTAGAGTAAATGGATCATGAGCACTCATCCCTGAAAAGAGGCTATTACGTAATCAGCACCAGGGAAGAAGAAGAATAAGGCTAGCTGCAGTATTAAATGTATTCTGTAGATGATCGTAGTTGATATGACATAGGTGTCATGCGCATTGTGTGTGTGTGCATACATGTGTTTATGAGTGAAACGTATGACGCTTCGAGTATACCGTCTAACCGTGCATACCATCATAATTGAACTGACTCCTAGATATTTAAATTATTACTTTCATGCATTTATGACTCCTCTTAAATGACTTCATGCATTTATTCCCCTTGATGAATTTAAATAAAGCAAGAACAACAGTGGTTTGTGCAGAATAATATGGTACCATCATTTATTTCGTCGGCTTCTCATCAGCTGCCTACAGCCTAAATAAATTGTGAGGTTTACGTACAGAAAAATTTTAACATACTTGCAAATTTTACATGTTGTCAGTTGACCTCACCTCTCGTCTTTATTACGTAACTCCCTTACCACTGTATGCATACATTTATTTTGACTTGAACTGCCTGTGTAAAAACTATATAAGCACAATTTTCTGAACACTTTTCACTAATTGTGGAACTTTCTGTCAACTGACATCATGTAAAATTTGCAAGTATGTTAAAACTTTTCTGTACGTAAACCTCACAATTTATTTAGGCTGTAAGCAGCTGATGAGAAGCCGACGAAATAAATGATAGTACCATATTATTCTGCACAAACCTGTTAAGTGAATTATTTTCACCTGTTCTTGGAGGTTTTTTGTACGAAGAATGAAGTAGATTAGTGGTGTTTGTTCCGCATTAAAAGTGACCTTCTATTTAGCAAAATAAGTAAAATACGGTGGATGTGCTGCCGGTGAAGTCGTCACTGTTTTGGCACGTATGTGTGTGTTTAATCAACAATCGCTACTTTGAATTGTGCTGACAACGGTCTCGATGTAAATCCAGTGTTATCTGTCACGTCTCTCCACTTGGGAGAGAATTTGGTTCATCTTTCTTCAGTAATGAATGCTATTTCGTTGTGGAACCCTACCCCAACGATGGTTCCCCAATACTACTGTCAATCGATCAAACAGTCAACATTATATTCAAGTATTTGTTTGTAGGGATTTGACTGACTGGTTATAGGATTTCATCACAAGGTGTCCAGTACTCCCAGGTTTTCCACTGGTTCTCTGACCGATGTCAGCTCATGATGAAATCCTGTAACCAACCAACATTATCTAGTACCAAGCTATTTCGCTTGCTTTCGTGATTGTCACCAATAGTATAAAGCAGATCGCTTACTGTAGCCTGTGTTTTTGTTTTGTAAAAGAAATTTTTATGTTTCGATGACTACTCTGATCACAGTTTTGTATCTAATTTATGTGCTTTACAGCCATAAAACTGATTCTCTTCTTCATATCCTATAAGTTATCGATTGACAAAGTCTGATTTAAGTGTATCTTGTCCTAAATACTACTTAATTTTGAATTGAGT